TTCGATACCCATCTGGCTACTTTTTCTATTGTGACAGAATAACCTGTTAGAAATAACCAGGTAAGTCGGCTTGTAAGTAGTAACTAAAAATAGCAGACAGCAACCTGATCTTTCCTCTATTTTCTTCTTGGCCACACACACTAACCCAGTAATTCATTAGACACAAATAGAGTTTATTAGTGGAAGTATGTCAGTTAGAGCGTAGAACTGACATACTGACATAGCATAGAACTTAAAGAGGTTGAGGGCATTAGCAAAATTCACTTAAGCTATGTAGGCTAATTAGTTTTGTTTGTAATTCTGTTTTTCATAAAGCTCTATCTTAGAGAGGTGGTAGTGAGTAAGCAATCAAGAGCTTTACTTTGATTTTTAAAATGATTTTCAATAGCCAGAGATTTCATACACTCATTAGAGAGACAGGAATAGAGTTAGAGAAAGCAGCCCCTGATGGGGTGCAGCCACACTGCAGTCCCTTCTCCTCCATTTGCCATTCTATTGGAATTTTGAACACACATACGGAATACTTTTTTAAGTTCTAGGGCCAGGATTTGAACTATGATTAGCCTTGTGGGATCTGGCTCCCTTAATCACTAGGCTATAGGTCTGGCCCAATTTACTTTTTTTCTTTTGGACAGATTTTTTGCTATAGGGCATGTGCACTCCCCAGAGAGAGAAAGAGACAGAAAGCGAGAAATCGCCCCCCAGGGGGATGGCCATGTTGCAGTTTCTTCTCCAGTCCTCTCAGGATTTGGGGCACACATACACACACACCTGGCTTGATTTTTAAGACTCCTGGTCTGGGACTCATGGTTGGCCACGTGGGAATCCAGCTATGAGAGAAATGGAAAGCGAGAAATCACTCCCCGGGGGGTTGGCCACACTGCAATCCCTTCTCCTCCATTCTCCATTTGGGATCTTGGGCACGCATGTGCCCAGTGTGAGTTTAAGCCACCGGGTCCAGGACTTGAATCATGGTCGACTACATGGCAGTTCAGCAACAGCCATTACGCTAATTGCTGATCCCCTGGTCCCTTTTAAACTATGAATTTCCTATGTATAAATTGTAACCCTGTCCTTTAGTTGGGCAACTTAATCTGTCAGAAATACAGTCTCCTCTTCTGTGAAGCTAAATAACTATTATCTCACAGAACTGTTGTGAGGATGAAATGAGATTAGGTAGAATAAAATACTTATCATAGTGTATGACATGATAATCATTTGGTAATATTAAATCTGATATTTTATAATTGATATATTTGGTCATCAAAGTCATGACTCATTTTTGCCTAGAAAATGGAAAAATATTTCGTGACTTTTCTGATTACTCAATAGTTTTTATTTAATAAGCCAATAGAAATAAAATCTATAAAATGTAACAATGAGGATAAATATCACTTCTACAAAACAAGATAGGATATCATAAATATAAAACAGCTAACTGAGAATAAGAAAGAACTCTTAAAACTTTCTGATAGTGCACATAAAAAGAAAAATTAAACACAAGACTGGGGTGAATAATCTTTCGTTAAAAAGTAAAACAACGAAGAAATGGACACTAGAAAAATAAAGTAAAAAGTTAAACAATCAGTGTGGAGGCCCGAAATCAAAATGGTAGAAGCTCCAAGAAAGAAAAGAAAAAAATGCATTGCAGGAAATTTTGAAAAAAATATTTAGCCATTATTCCCAGAGGTAATGGACATGAGATTTTTGATTTAATGAACTCAGTTCATAATAACTGAATGAAAGTCATGCCAAGGCACATTGTCGTGAAATTTAGATTCTGTTCCAAAGAGGAGTGGCAGGCCATTCACACACACAGGCTATCCAGTCACCATGCATTAGACTTCTGAACCCAAAGGACGCTTGCGTAATGCCAGTGTAATATGAAAAAAAGTTTCCAACCAGAATTATATATTCAGCCATCATGACATTTACAGACGTGTGAATGTAAAGACATTTACTTCTCAATCTCAGAAAGCACCTGGAGAATGTGTTCCACCGAAATAAGGAAGTAAACTGAAAAAGAGGAAGGCACAGAATCAGGGAAACAAATCCCAACAGAGTAAGAGGGTCAAGGGAAATATCTAGGTTGATAGTGAGGAATCTTATCAGGAAGATATGTAGAGCAAGCCTAAATTGCAATGCATCCAGACTGGGCAGGCAGACAGAGCTTCATAGTTGACAGCTGAAAGGAAAAGAAAAAAGAAAAGAAAAGAAAAGAAAAGAAAAGAAAAGAAAAGAAAAGAAAAGAAAAGAAAAGAAAAGAAAAGAAAAAAGAAAAATGTGGGTCAGCAGGTGCTTTGAAGGTTAAGGTGGCTGGATCCCACGTGTCCAATCACGCTTCAGGTCTTGGACTTTGTGGCTTGAAAAATCACACCAGGCATGTCTGTGTGTCTGCCCAGAGAGTAGAATGGAAAAGGATCGCAAAATGGCCATCCTTCCAGGCAGTGTGGTGGGGTATGTCTTAGTTTTTCTGTTTCTATCTTGCTCTGACAAGTGCATGTGCCCTATAGCAAAAACTCAAACAAACAAACTAAGAAAAATGGAATTGATGGAGTATATGTTGTTTGGCCCTACTGTGATTTGTTGGAGAGTTTTGTAATAAGTTCGTGATTACTGAAGGAGTTATTAACTACATGAAAAACAAAATATACAATATAGCAGATGTAATCAGAGTAAAATATATAGCTCAGCTGTAGACAGTCTTTACTAAGTTGTAATCTAAGCACAGGATACTGATTTAAGTGAAAAAAGTGGTATAACATTATTGAGAGGACAGGAAAAGGGAAGTGTGTGTATTGTGGGAATTTAGTAATGATGTAAGAATACAGAAGTCTCATTTTCCACAGTTAGGAAGTTGATAAATAATACCTAAAATGGAAACATTATGGAATATTGGTAAAGCTGAATCCCAGGAACATCAATGTAGACAGTTTCAAAGTGTGCTTCTGGGAGTGGGGTTCACTGTGTGGGAGAAAAGGCAGGTGACTGCCACTTTGCCTTGTAAAGTTTAGGAGCACGTTTTGACTCTTACACTTTTTTGAGAGAATTACTTGGATTAAAAATTAAAATGAAATATAATCTCCTCTAATTAAGACCAAGAATGTATGGGGGAAAACTTTAAACTTGTAAAGTACTATGCATGTACTGTGCTTTTTAAACATTTTCACAGTCACCATCCCATTGACCTGACTTGTATTTCCAGTCATTCCTTTTACAGCTTTGCCCCAGGTTGTAGAGTTGTACAGAACTCCACATTCTGTGCTTTATCTCTTCCTCTCTCTCTCTCTCTTTAATTGCCAGAGGACAAGTGTGCTCACTTAAGAGTGAGGGAAAGACAGAGAGGGAAAAGGAGAAAGCACCCCTCCCATGGGGTTGTGGGAGAAAAGGCAGGTGACTGCCACTTTGCCTTGTAAGTTTAGGAGCACGTTTTGACTCTTACACTTTTTTGAGAGAATTACTTGGATTAAAAATTAAAATGAAATATAATCTCCTCTAATTAAGACCAAGAATGTATGGGGGAAAACTTTAAACTTGTAAAGTACTATGCATGTACTGTGCTTTTTAAACATTTTCACAAAGTCACCATCCCATTGACCTGACTTGTATTTCCAGTCATTCCTTTTACAGCTTTGCCCCAGGTTGTAGAGTTGTACAGAACTCCACATTCTGTGCTTTATCTCTTCCTCTCTCTCTCTCTTTAATTGCCAGAGGACAAGTGTGCTCACTTAAGAGTGAGGGAAAGACAGAGAGGGAAAAGGAGAAAGCACCCCTCCCATGGGGTGAGACATGGTTATGCCACAATCCCTCCTCTTCCATTTCTCTGTCTTGCCAGGATTTGGGGCATGCATGCACATGTGCCCAGTGGTCAGCCATGTGGGCTCCACCTCTTTAGCCATTAGGCTACAGGGCCAACCCTACACTTTGTGCCTTAAAACCTTCTAGATGATGTGGTTCCAAACCTGACTTGTATCATCTTCCTGTATAAAGTGAGACAAATGGACGAAAACGATCTTGTAGGTCCCTCTTTCTTGGGTCATCTGTGAAATCCACACCAACGGACTGTGTGAAAAGAAAATCAACAGCCAATTCACAAGTACTTAAGAAGACTAATACCCACGTCTTCATTTACTGAAGTCGCTTTGCACTATGGAATAAAGAAAATTCATAAATATTAGAATGTGGTTGTGCTGGCTGGTGGCATAGTGGTTAAGGAGGCTGGATCCCACTTGGTCGACTACACAGTTTGAAGCCTCTGAGGCTAGGGAAGCAAACTGGACATGTACGTGTGCCCGAAATCTTGAGAGGAGAATGGAGGAGAAGAGAAAGCAGTGTGGCCATCCTCTCAGGGGTGTACTTCCTCAGTTTCTGTCTGTCTGTCTCTCTGGTTTGTCTCCAGCAAGCATAAGTACTGTATAGCAAACTGAAAAAAAACAAACAAAACAAAAAACTCTTCTTTTTTGTTTTGCTTTTAACCTCTGTTTGTTATAATCCTTAATGTGAATTGTCATGTTTGAAATCTTTAAGAGACTGTATGGAGGTTGTATATGTATTAAGACATTTTTTCTACACATTTTTTGGTTTTCCTGTACCTTCTAAATTTGTATTTATCTGTGTGAGACATTGAGTTAATGGGTGCTTTCCCTGATCTTATAGATGAATAATGTTTAACCTTGTAACCAAAATAACTTCAAAAGGCTTGGTCTGGGTATCTACTTATATAATAGCTGATACAGAAATAGTGGAAATATATTGAGAATAGTTCATTTACCAGCCTTTAATAGTTACTAATACCCAGCAAATTTGAGTGAACCACAAAAAGATTCCTTTTCCTGCTAACATGAAGAGGAAAACTGAAACTGTGTTCTATATTGGGTCCTCTGAAAGGTCGTGACACATTTTTGCATAGAAAAATATGTCGCGACTTTTCCAAGGACCCAAAAGTTTTGAAGTAAAAATTCAAACTGTATGAAGGATTCCGTTTTCTTCTCTTCCCACAGGGAGCGAACAGAATGAGAGGTCGGCTTGGAAGTATGGACAGCTTTGAACGGTCCAACAGTCTTGCTTCAGAGAAGGTACCTGCTCGGAGCTCCCTAGTTTACCATTAATTGGGATGTAGCAAAATACAACACTGATTATGGTAAAAAATTGATACTTAATTATTTTATTATGAGTCCTTTATGGCTTTTTAAAAGATAAATATTTGGAATGTTACTATTTTAAATAAGATGATTCTGGGTATTCCCATGTTGCTTGTGATGCAGCGAAACTTTTCCATGCTGGGAAGGAACACATCCCTTCTAGGCTAACTGCCCTATCTGACTTTTTATTGTTTAGAGACTAGTACACTTTGAAGGGTAGTATTTGAGTAACTCTTGACCTTAAGCCATAGGTTCCGTTTAACCCCCTCATTTAAAAAAATCATTTTCACTGCAGCTTTAGGCTTTTCTTTATCTCATAGACAACTCTCAGTAAGTTTGGTTTCCTGTTTCCTTTATCATGCAACATGTAACCTGAGGCTTATGTGACCTTTTTTTTTTAATGGAAAATGTTAAAATAGTTTTCTTAAATTTTCGGTTGATGGAATTAGGAACTTAGTCCAGCCTTGGGTCTATTATTGGTGACCCATGTTTATCAAGCTAAACATTCTCTGCTAGTGCGTGGTCTGAAGGATCCACAGCATACCTGTCTAAATTGATAGATTTATTCCACCCATGCAATAAGGGCACATTCCAGCACAGCTCACTTTTCATTCATTTCCTGTTTTTTATGTCTTTTACAAGAAATTTACCTCAGGGGACATGTCGTTGGATAGAGACATCCACAACGAAGGAAGATACTTAATAGGCTTTATTTTATTTTCCTGAAGGCTTTGCTGTGAGAGTTGGACACAGCATTGTGATACTGTTTTGACTACAGGAAGCATGCCCCCGATATGTCACGGAAATTAGGAGATACCTAGTACAGACTCCACCTCTGCCGGTCTCATCTTTCTGACCACAGAGGAGGAAAGTACAGTAGCAATAGCATCATACCACCAAGTGTCAGGGGAGAGCATACCTTTTCCTATCACCCCTTTCGCTTTCTGGCCTATCTGGACGGATGCTGCCTTACAGCTGCTTATCAGAAGAAACGGGCTGTGGTGATACTGATTAGCCTGCAGCCTAGATTGAGTAAAAGAAACAAAACAGAGTGTTGTCAGGACTCAGGAGGAAGGTGAAGCACCCTGTCCCTTTGGGACTCAGGGTTTCTGCAGGTCTGCTGTGACTGTGACCAAGAAGGAAATAAAGACTTCCCCTCTGCCTGCTTTTCAGGACTACTCACCGGGGGACTCTCCCCCAGGGACGCCGCCAGCTTCTCCACTGTCCTCAGCTTGGCACACATTCCCTGAAGAGGATTCGGACTCCCCACAGTTTCGGAGACGGGCACACACATTCAGCCACCCACCTTCTAGTGCAAAGAGAAAGCTGAATTTGCACGACGGGCGGGCCCACGGGCTACGCTCCCCTTTGCTGAGACAGAGCTCCAGCGAGCAGTGCAGGTGAGTCCCGGCCCCAGCGCGAGCAGTTTCTCATGTCACCTCCTTTGCTCTCTCTGGAGTTGAGATGAGTCTTCATATTGTGACCACCTTTTAGTTTTTAGAAACACTGTAAAAATGTATTAAATATATCCACCTCGGTTATTAAGGAAAACAAGGCAAGGTTCAGATACTCAAAGAGAAGAGTCAATACATTTTGGATGGAAACTTTCCCCCCTCCCCGAGAACAATGGCAAAAACAAGATATTATGCAGTCATTTTGCCTGAAAACCTGCTGACAACACATGTTCAGTGTCTTCTTGGTGATAGTTCTGAAAAAACAAGTCAGCAAATTTGGAAAACATTGCAGTGGAACTTCCTGTCAGCCTACTGTAAAATACGAGAGTTAAAAATAAATCACCTAAATTACCTTTATGAGCTAGTTGGCCAGATTTTATTACATAATGAATTAAAGCTAAATATTAGAATTTTTACCTCCTTAACCTGGAACAAAGCATTATCTATGAAGAAGTCTGTATACTATAATTTATCGGCCTTGTCCCCTAGAAATTATTTTATATGCTATTTAAAAAATAATTGTGACAAAATTGTTTGACATCTGAGGGTAGACAGTAAAGGGATAAACCTGAAATTGTAGAAAGAATATACTTCTCATTGTGTAGCACAAACCAGGAATAAGATCTCCCAACTAGTTTTGTTTCTCTACCAATGAGTGTGTCACAGGATACAGACCACAGGGTCAGATAGAGATGGTTGTAAGAAGATTAAAAAAAAAAAAAAAAAAAAAAACAGAACTTGAAATATATAGGAAAGGCTAATTTTTATATCAAGTGTTGTCTAATTTAACAGCTGTTCTTCTAAAAATGTTGTTTTATTCTCATTATTATTTTCTCAATGATTTGAAAATTTAAAATAAGATCTTTATTATATATAAAAATAAATTAAGTCAACACCTTCTTATCCTCATCTCTTTCATGTTTGTATGAAGGAGACTGAGTGCTCACATGTATACCAAGAGGTTTTGTTTTTATGATCACTTCATCTATATTATCCAAGGCAATGCATCTTTTGTTTCAGGAAAAAAAACTACTTTCAAGAACAAAAACAATAATTATTTTAGATATAAATGATACCTCTATTATCCTCTACCTTTTTGTCAATTATAATATGTAAGTTCAAACCATTTCTATCTATATAAAAATATACTATTTATATCATTGTAAAAAAT